AAAAAAAAAAGGGATCATGATTTATCAACATGTAGTAGAAATATCCTGTGTTCTTGGGTAAACTGACTATTACAATGGAATATTCAAGAAAAGAATCTGCCTATGGTTACCATCTTTTTTTTTTTGATGTTTACCCATTCCTAATTACCCTTCTGCGTGCTGAAAATGCTAAACTTCAAGTGGGATTTTGTTTGATTTTCTTGAGGTAATCATACTCACATAAGCATTTTATTGATTTGACTCTTCTCTCTCTCTCTCTCTCTCTCTCTCCCCTTAGACCGCTGATTACTTCCTTTGTTTTGGAAGTTGTTTGTGATCTTCTTCCATTCTTTAGAAATTCTTTTAACAGATATTTTGGAATGAAAGAAAGGAGAAAAGCAAGGGGAGAAGGTGAAAGAAAGAATGGGAGGAGAGGGAGGAACAAAAGTATTAGTTTTTGTTTTGTTTTACACACTACTCTCCCCAGACCCCACAAGTGGGATTGCACTGGGTATGTTTGTTGTAGAAGCCTAGAAGGAACGTAATGGGTCCGTGGAGATGAATATCCTTCTTGAAGTATTTGTTTTGTTTGTAAGCCCAAGATTTCTTGGATGTTGCAGAAGTTCCATTAAAGAGGCCTCCTTTCCCCTCTGTTCTTGAATTTTTGATCCCTGGCCATGTCTCTCCAGTCTATCCTTCTCCCCCATTTCTTGGCCAAATATTCAACCTGGAAAGTGAAATATTAGGAACTCTCATTTTTTTCCCACCCTTCGCGTGAATTAAATATCCATAACCCTAAGCATATCCGAATTCAATGTTTTCTGGAGTAGGGAGTTGAGTTGAACTGTGCAGGATATTAGACATGGAAAATTTTCATGTTCTTTAACCCTTTCCGAAATCATTCAAATCCTTTTCTGATGTCTCTAGGTAGAATGTGTCTTGGTGGAAATCGTTAGTTCATGCTTATGTTCTGCTTTTCCTTTGAGCTGCCTATTACAGAGGGGAGAAACCCGCGCCTTTCCCGTGTTCAAAGATCTCTTCTACTTCTTAATTTGAAGATTATTGATAGTCAAATTTGATTTTGGTGCTCTTTTTCTGCTCATTAGTGGTGCCAGATGATTGCTTGGAATGGTTGCTCCACAGCTGTATTCTTCAATTAGTAGCGATACATGCCTATAAGATTTCTTTTTCCCCTCTGGTGTCAAATTTGTTCTAGTTGTGAATTATGTTTCTTTAGCAAGTGTTTACCGGCTGTCTACCAATATGACAATGTGTTTCACCTACTATGTCACTGAATATGTGCTTGCAGGGGCTGGGATCAGTTTGAGGTCAATGAAACACTATTTGGAGTAAAAAGCACATTCAATGAAGAACTTTATACTACAAAGCTTGAGAAAGGTCCTCAAATGAGGGAGTTGGAAAAAGAAGCTTTAAGAATAGCTAGGGAAATTGAGGGTGAGGAAACACGTGATCTTCATCTAGCAGAGGTGAGATTTTCATCGTTACCTTTTTCTTGTGCAATGTTCTAAAACATGATAGCTCTGTTGCTTAAAGATATGAGTAATGAAACCGAGGGGTCCTCGCTTCACATGTGCGTGGTAAAGCAACAATGAACGATGAAAGCGAGGGGTCTTTACTTTACATGGGCGAAGCAAAGCAACTTCAAAGAAGCGTGAGCGTCCGATAGTAAGGCGCAAGCGATCCGAGAAGAAGTCGCATCTTTAATTTGACATTAAAAGATAAAAAGAATAGTAAATGGTGCTGTTTACTATCTGAATACTAGGACACCTTTCCAGATACACTTCAGTGTTCTCTTCATGTCTTTTTTCTTCTTCACTGGTTTGCAACAACCTTTCTTTGCATCTTATTTTTAATATGACCAAATTTTGCACTTAACTTCAAAGCGTGCTTCGCTCACATCTCGCTTAAACCCCTAGGAGTCTTGTTACTTTTTTGCTTTCTGCTTTTGAGAACACCGATATCGTTAATCCTTGGTTTTCTTTCCATCCTCTGATGGTTCTTGTTCTGCCTTTTGATTTTAATTTTCTTCACTTGTTTTGGAATTATATTTTCACAGGAGAGAGGAATTCAACTTCATGGGAACCTTGAAGTTGATGAAGAAACCAGATTTTCAGCAGTTGTTAGAGGGGTTGATGATAGTGGATATGATGACTGTGAGGACATACTGGTGGATTCACGTAATGATGAAACATTCACTGGCACGAGTGTTGGGAAAGTTGTTGATGGTGCAGAATTCTCATCAAGATCTTCCTATACGGTATGGGTATGCTCATTTAGGCTCATTGTGTCTTGCATAAACTATTCCTTTGTGGAATGAAAACTTTATTCGTTTGTGTCAATGTATTGCTAGGTAAGGTTTTATGTCTGTGCTTAATTTATTTCCGACAAACTGAGGCATTTAATTGGGATATACCTGATGTAGGAAGATGGTTTTCTAACTATTCAAATGTCTCAACTAGTTGGAAACTTTATCGCAGAGTAATGCTGTGAAAGTGCTGGCAAATACAAGAACTATCCATGCCTTTTAGACATAAGTCCTGCTAGCAAGAAATTTCTCTTAACTTTCATAGATCGAATGAAATGGTTTAAAGTGGCTCCCAAAGATGTGACTTAACGGTCAATGAAGTTTTAATGAATGAGAGACTAGGATTCAAATCCCAACAGAGGAAAAGAAATGTTAGGTGATTTCTTTTCATCATTCTAAGCTTCTAGAGTTGCCCCATACCTGCGTTGGTGGGAGGTAGCAGGTACGCGGTTGACTAGTTGAGGTGTGCGCAAATTGGCCTTGTATACCACCAATATCAAAAATACAAAAATAAAAGAGGTCTTTAAAGTGTCTGTGTTCATGTGTTAGTTCTATGCCTTTGATTTTCTGCTTGTATCTTAAGATCACATCGCCAGTGTTCGTCTTGCCTTATGTCTGTAGGATGAATTGCAATCTTCTCAGTTGAGTACCAGCAGGAATGTCTATCAGACTTACTATGATGATCATAGCAAACAGTCATCAGCTAAACATGTTCCTCAAAGTGCCTCGATGATGGATGAGAGCAGGTTGTTACAGTCTTTCTTTCTGACATTCTGACTGTCCTTCTCTACCTAGTGTGACAAGTCTACTTTCTCTTATCATGTTTTCTACTTTTAAAAGAGAAAGCTTAAATACAATAAACTCTTACCCCCTTTAGCTATCAAATTTTTATTGCTCTGACCATGTATTCCTTTAGGGGGCATAAGATCACCTTCAGTGAACATGATGGAGCTAGTTGCAATGATGAGGAGATGAGAATGCAAATGGTAGCTGAACTTTAACTCCCTTAAATGCTTATTGCTTTCATTAAAAATCTATTTCTTTTTTTCTTGCTTGGAAAAACTCTCATGGTCAGTACTCGTTGTTTCTTGTAGTTAGCTGATGAGGCTCAAACATCAATACTTGAAGGTGAGTTTCTCTTGAGGTTCAACTAGTCAAATATCCATGCCTGCAACTCCTAAAGATAGGTTTCTTATAAATATTTCCATTCTTGCTACATTGCTGCTAGTTGACTTGTATCCTATCATCTTCTCTTCGCTTTTTTTCCCCTCAAAATAGCTCCGCTCAGAAATTGATATTTTAATATTAGGGTGTTATACTCATCTAAAAGAAAAAATTATTGTCTGCCTCAAGATTGTTGAGCATGTGACTTTGGTCCTTCGCCATCAGTAAAAAAAAAAAAAAATTACCACGTCAATGTTCTGATCTACTGCCCACCAGCTAAAAGAATGGCTGGTGGTGGTTGGTGAAGGTCTAGCTAGGTAAGCTTCCAATGATGCTAGGTTCCTTGTGGCTTTTGCACATCTCAAAAAAACTTCTATTTTAACGTATTGTATACTGAGCAGTCAAAATAGGTAATATAATTAATCCTGGTAGCGTCACTTGTATATCATGAGAATCAAGGATGCTAGTGGCTCCTTAAAGAGACTCTTTTTAATGGAAAGTTTTATGGTTAACTAAGTTAGCCTCCCTTTTTAATTATAGTTTATCCCCTTCTCGCTCATCTTTTAAGTGTTTAAAAAATGTGTCTCTGCCTCATTTTATTGCATCTCTGTTGATTTTAAGGTTTTTACATGTAGATTCCAAGTCATCACGACTGAAAAAGGAAACGTCGGATAAGGGTGGATCATCTGCGGATGTCTCCACATCGTCTGCTCCTCTCAAGTGCCAGGATAAGATCGCAAGTTCTTCTAGTGAAAAGGGGCCTGTTGCGTCTTTCAAGAGTCAAGACATTGCCCGATCTGCTAATTCTTGTGTCAGACCTAGTAGTTCTGCTTTATCCTCTATTGATAAAGCAGGTGCTGCATCTAGCAATGGATTGTCACGTAGCTCTTCAGTGAGTTCATTTTCCTCAGAAAAATCCACAAAGTCCACATTGAATCCACATGCTAAGGTAAGACTTCTTCTTTGATACCTTTTTCTATTCAACAAAGGATGACTATCAGCAAGCAATCATGTCATGAAGTTTTGATGGGCTCTTAGTTTAAGCAATCTAGTTATGCTTCTGTTGAACGTTCTGGCAGGAATTTAAATTTAATCCCAATGCGAAGAGTTTCGTCCCATCTCAAACGACTTTAAGACCGGCATCTCCAGTGTCTGATAATTCCTTCTACTATCCAGCTGGGGTGGCTGCTATGCCACACATGCATGGCATGTCTGTGGGCATTGGGGTAATGATGCTTTTATGTATTATTACTGATTGGTGTTGCTTTTATGAATGTTCGTTTTTATGAATGTGGCTTGGCTGGGTACTTTTGATGCCAAGCATGGTTTAGTCTTGATGATCTGGGTTTCATTGGGATAGGCAGTTTCCATACTGGTATTTCATTCTACATCTGTCCAACTCTATCAAATGAAATATATTGTCCAACTCTACTTGCAAATGATTCTCTCCTTTTTTTTTTTTTTTTTTTTTTTTTTTTTTTTTTTTTTTTGGTGAAATGGTACGGAGTTGCAAATGATTCTTAGGAATGGTAATTTAGTGGAATAACTGAATCTTAAAAATATTACATAATATGTTCACCACAGTGGTCTGAAAATCAGTAGTTTATTGTTACACCGAGAAGAGCACAAAAAAAACAGTGAACCTATCATAACCTCGTCCTTTATCTGGGCTTAAGACCAGCAGCGTGGCCTAAGTTTGAGGGATGCCACACAAGGACTTCCGAAGAGTCATCTGGCCTAGTACTTCGCCCAAGCACACTTGATTTTGGAGTTTTACGTATAGTAAACGGTAAAAGGGTAACAGCCACCTTGTTTTTTTATGTGTCGTTAATTGATTCTTTTCCATCTTTTAAAGTTTTATGTATCATGGATGCAATTCTGTTGACTAGCGATTAGTGAGATCCTCTTTAGACTAGATTTTTGGAGTATTCTTAAGGAACTGAGATGCACGATTGAATTGCAAGCTATTTTCAAATTGCTAGATAGCTGGTGAAGTTCACAAAGAATCTGTTTGCATCTTTGTGAACTGGACATGCTGTTGCTTCTCTCTCTCTCTCTCTCTATCTCTCTATCTCTCACTTTTTCCTTTTTGGAGGGTGGGGCAGAGTGTTCTGATGTTAAATGTTACTAACGTACTATTTGCAGGTTGGTCCATCGTATGCTGGACATCAGCCTGTTATATTTAATCCACAGGCTACACCTGCACCGCAGCCATACTTTCATCCAAATGGACCTCAGGTTTGTCCTTTTTTTGGTCATTGCCCATAGTACGTGCTGGTTGTTCTGCCTGTAATCTTGGAGAGATTTGGTCAATGCACTAGTCGTTCTGCCTATTATATTGAATTGGATTGCATAATGTTTAAAATCTCCTCCTTTGATTGCAGTATGGACAGCAGATGATGATTGGTCACCCTCGGCAAGTTGTCTACATGCCAACTTACCCCCCTGTAAGAATCTTTTTCTGGCATGTACCCTTTACTTTTTCGGTCTTGCAGTCTTCCGGCCATTTTTATAGCTCTCTCATTGTGATAAAAGTCAATTTTGGGTACCTTGCTTGATAATGAATTAATGATCATAATGGTCCTTAATATAGTAGGCAATGCTTAAGAGGAATTTTCCACAAAAATACCACAACACTATCTACACCTTAATATCAAGCAAGTTGTCGTCGGTCATATTGCTTATGCTTCTCTGAGCCGAGGGTCTATTGGAAACATCCTCTCTATCTCCACAAGGTAGGGGTAAGGCTGCGTACACACTACCCTCTCCATACCCCACCATGTGGGATTATACTGAAGTTTTTGTTGTTGTCGTCGGTCATATGAATTCTCATTATCTATGTCACTCCATTTAAGCTTGTCTCAGTATAATTTACAAAAACATAATAACTAGTATAATCCCACAAGTAGGGTGTACGCAGACCTTACCCCTACCTGGTGAGGTAGAGAGGTGGTTTCTAATAAACCCTCGGCTCAAGAAAAGGTGAAAAAAGAAGAAAGGAAAGGAGAAGAAGAAGAAGAAGAAGAAGAAGAAGAAGACAAAAGACGAAAAGGAAAAAAGGAGAAGCCGAAAAAGGAAAAGTAGCATCAAATAGTAACAACAGGGAAAGAAGATAAACAAAGCAAACAAAACAACAAGCAACAAATAGAGATCGAAGAATATGAAAATACACGAGTGCTACTGATACTACTTGGAACTCTCGATTACCTACTAGTTTTTTACCTTAATTCTCAACCTCCACTTCCTCTTATTGTGGGTCATGTCCTCAGTGAGCTGAAGCAGCGCCATGACCTGCATAATCACCTCTCCCTAATACTTCTTTGGCCTACCTCTACCTCTTCTCAGATCTACCATGGCCAACCTCGCACACCTCCTAATAGGAGCATCTATCCTTCTCCTCTTCATGTGCCCGAACCATCTCAGCCTCGACTCCCGGACAAGCCTTGTCCTCTACGGGGGGGCACTTCCACTTTGTCCTGAATAACTTCATTCCTAATCTTATCTCCCCCGGTATGCCCACACATCCATCTCAGCATCCTCATTGCGGCTACTTTCTTCTTCTGAACATGAGAGTTCTTGATTGACCAAGACTCAACCCCATACAGTATGGTAGGTTTAACCATCACTCTATAGAACTTACCCTTAAGTTTCGGTGGCACATTCTTATCACACAAAACACCGGATACGAGCCTCCATTTCATTCACCCCGCACCAATACAATGTGAGACCTCCTCGTTACCTTGGATTATAGACCCGAGATACTTGAAACTACTTCTCCTGGGGATGACTTGAGTATCAAGCTTCACATCCACGCCTGCTTCATGAGTTCCGTCACTGAACTTGCACTCGAAGTATTCTGTTTTGGTCTGTCTCAGTCCTATTTGATAAAACAAAATTAGTTTTTGTAGCACCAGAAATTCTCTACCTTGTTGGCAAATAAGTCCTTTGACAAGGCCAAAGACTCCTAATGAACTTAGGACTCAAATGCCAATCTAACACGTGCTTAGTTGAGCATGTCCCAATGTATTTTGCATTTCAAGGATACACCATAGATTGGCTAGCTTCACGCTGTCTATCTACAACTCTCTCCTCTTTTATCAAGAGTTGGGACTAGCAATATAAGCAAGATCACACTGGCAATATGATGGAATTTCCCATTTATCTGATGATGCTTCTGCTGGTATAAGGATAATATAATAACAAACTATCAGCTTTAGCTTTCTTTCTTTATCTTGATGCCAACAGGAATCGCCATATAAGGGAAGAGAGTTTTGACCAGCTGGTTGATGACCTGCATCGCTTGGTGGCGCAATTGCTGATATGTGAAAGTAGTTTCTGACAGTAGATTGCATGGATCATGTGTTGGTGCATAAAGTCCTGCTGGCTGATAAAATAGCTGCAATTTCCGCCTGCTGGCTGAAATGGTTCTGCTCCTGTGTATGTCAAATTAGTTATTTTGGTTTTCATAATCATAGATTCTTTTTTTTGTAAGCTCTTTGGTGTTTCTTTGGTGCACTGCCGTATATTTTTCTTCTTCAGGTGTTTATTTTCTCGACAAAATTTTAACCAATTTGTGGTTGTTTGTGAAATTCTTTTTTATTCATACTTGTATCATGTTTTTGCTCTTTGATAGCGTTTGCTGGTGCAATATGGTAGTTCTATGGACGAATTTGCATTTTTCTAATCTGATTTTAGTTTCTAATCTGATTTTAGTATTGGTGTCACTTCCTCGTGCCTCTGGCAATTTAACTGCAGTCTTTGCTATAACGAGCTGGTGCAATAATATTCATGACACTGACGTCGCCGTGTACGAGGTGGTCAAATGGCATTAATTGTCCATTTGTAAGAGGCCATATGATCCGTTAAATTATAAATGCATGTAGTGTAAATAAAGAAAGAATTGGCGTTTTCTTTTGCAAGGCAAAGATATTTGGAGGAATCCTGTATCGAAGTCTGGGAATTTCTTTGTGTCACACCTCCCGTTTTCGGGGAAAATGGTTTTTTCTAATTAAAGTAACATTATTGAAATATGATTGGTTTATTTTATTTTTTAGAGTCGCCACTTGGAATAATTGATTACGGTGTTCCAAGTCACCAATTTATTTTAAATCTCAATTCAAGGAAGTTTGACTTTGTTTAAGTCTGTAAAACACAGAAGACCGGGTAAGGAATTCTATTAACCCGAGAGAAGGTGTGAGACACTCTCGAGTACCGTGATTTTAGCACGGTCGCTTAACAAATTACACTTGGCTTGATTTATTCGGATTATATATATATTTTAAAACCTTTTATGCATTACTGCTTCTATACCGCTTCGAATTATATATTTTAAATAATTATGGAGTTTATTTGAAACAAGTCACGATGTCGTGCACTTATTATTTTGTACACATTACAAATCACGCCACGTGAGCTTGAAAACATGAAGAGTTTTCAAGGAAAAAAAAGATGAGCGATATAACTAATTTTTTGTCAAACCGTTATTTATTATTATTTTTTTTAAAAGAAGAAAATAAAATAAGAGAGTGCAACTGAGTCCTGGTTTTGGACATCCTACATATCTCGGGTTATAAGGGAATCAGGTCGTGTGTAGTTCAAGAAGAGTGGTGGAATGATGAGTTGCAGGGTCGAGTGAGGTTCCGTCGAGGCTCGGATTTGCGGTTTAGTTTGTTACATCCAAATGAAAGAAAATTACATTAACAAAAAGGAAAATACAAAATCCTCTCTTATTTATTTATCTTTTACTTACCTTCGTCTTACAGTGCCCGTGAAGGTTTTCACTAGTAAGACTCTCATTTTTACTTCTTTATTTTTCTTTTGCTTTCTTGTGTGAACAACTTGACAATGTTCTATGTCGCGTGACAACCGTTGCTCATTGCATGCTTCTTTTGACATTCTTGAAGGCATATCGGGAGGTCTTTATTTTGAAGGTTTTTGATAGGGTTGGAAAGAAAGGACGGCATGAAGGCTCAAAGTAGACTTAAAATTAGGGGGTTGTAGACTTACAACTCTTGGAATCGACTCTTTCAAAAGTGAAATAAAATCTTTGCCCCAGTTTCAGATACTGGGAATTTTTTAATTTTTTGACTCTTATTTGGTTTGACCGAACCGTGCTGCCTACATATCCTTTTTTAAAGGAATCAGGTAAAACGTAGTTCAAACATCCGACCTAACTATATTTTATTTTTCATCTTTCTTTCTATTTCTTCTCTTTTTCTTCCTTTTTTTCTCTTTTTGTTTTCAAAACAAGTTGCCCCAGCTTCTATTTTCTAGGGGATCTTGATTTTTTTTTTAATTTGAACTTTCTAAGAATTGCCCCAGTTTGTACTCTTGGGATATGGACTTTTCTATTCATTTTTTTTAATTTTATTTAACTCGAAACTTGATTCCAAAAGAGAGTGGTCAAAGAAAATAACACAAGCTCAAAAGGGGTAACGAAGGATATGAAGTGTTTGGATAGTAGAAAAAGGGCATCCCAGCCTCGAGAACGCCAAATATAGTATCATTTCGCGATCACAGCATTGATGAACATGTCTGTCTTCTTGGTGTGTCGTGGTCGAAAGACACTTTCCATCCATTAATGTCGAACTTTCCACCAAACTTCAATTGATACTTCCTCAAACCCGACCTGCACAATGATTTGAAGGTAAAGATCATTAACCTCTACGGGTATGACTATTCTAGTTCCACGTGAATTTTACCCGAGCTTAATTCCAAAGTGTTTCGACTCTTTATTCATCATCAAAAGTGTCTTTTTCTCAGTCATCCAATTCAAAACTAAATCAGTTTTCTAAGATCTGGCCAAAAATTCTGTATGCACGTCATGTCACTAGAACTAGCAGCGAAAGAACTAAGCATAGAATGACACAAAAGGACAAACTGTATTTCATTGAATAACTGATGGAAGGATTTGACGATAAGACAAACAAACTGAAATGTGGGTTACAACCCTGGATAGCATAGATAATAGAAAAGACGGCAAAATAAGCTACCAAGACTCATCCCTGGCTAAAAGAGGAGTAACTTTCCAGTTTTTAGGGGATATCTTAGCCACGGACTTGCACATCCGCATTACTATGGCATTCAACAATTTTGATTGCTTTGGATTCTGCACTCAAATTTTGACTTTTTGATCAAACCGCTCTCAATATTGGCTATCAAATTTCAGGAATAACGGCATGAGAAATTTCATAGCAACCAATTTGCCAAAATACTTGGAAGAATTCTCATATCTCCATATCATCACAGATCGTCTCACACAAAGCATGTCCTGTTGCTCAAACCTGGTAAAAGTCAACCAACAATTGCCTCAATTGTTCACCACCAACTTGTCTACTTACCTTTTCATGACCTTAACTAGATCAACAATAGCGATGCTTATTCCATTGGTTGAGAAGATGATAGAGTGATCCTAAATTATTTTCGTGACTCCCCATTGTAAACCAACAAACTGACAACCTTTTTCCCAGCAGAGTTGCCAGAGCTATCACATCTTCTTTTTACGGGAAAATAAATTTTTTCACTTTAAGTGATATTATTGAAATGAGATTATTTTATTTAATTTTAAAGAGTCTCCACTTGGAATAATTATTTACAACGTCCCAAGTCGCCATTTATTTTAAATCCCAAATCAAAGAAATTTTGACTTTGTTTAAGTCTGCGAAACACAGAAGACCGGGTAAGGAATTCTGTTAATCCGGGAGAAGATGTGAGGCACTCCCGGATTTCATAGTTTTAGCACGATCGCTTTACAATTACACCTGGCTTAATTATCGATTATTTCATATTTTGAACCTATGTGCATTTTTATATTTTACTGCTTTTATTTGCATATTTTAATCCGTTTTAGGCATTTATGAAATTTATTTTAACAAGTCACGATATCGCACACTTGTTGTTTTTATACATATCGTAAATCGCGCCACGTGAAACGTATCCGTAATTCATAACATGTTTATTTTATTTATTTGAAGTTATTGGTCAAGTCACGCGAATGTGCACTTGAGTTTGGGATTACGTGTCGCAATTATGCCACAGAGCCGTACCCACAACTGCAATAATTTATTGAATTAGCGCACCTAAAGCAACTAACATGTATGAGTTATTTTTCTAAACTACTTTAAAATTATTGTGAAGGACATAGATTATGAAATTATTGTAGAGTAGCATCAAGTGGATTAATTTTGGAAAAGTATGTTAGCTTTGTTATTAAAGAAGAAAGTGGCCAACAACACATTATCACGAAAGTGGCCTGGCAAATGACTTCTTTGCCCCATCAGTCCATTTATCAAATTCGCTCAAACTAACAGACCATACTATTTTACGAAATGGGCCAGCAAGATTTCAGTAAAAATGGCGTGTGGTAACCATTAAATAAGGTGGTGTTTATTTTTTATCCACCAATTCTAATGTTGAGCAAAAATAGCCACTACTCTATTAAAATTAATATGAAAAGACATTTTTACACTTTCTTCTATTTCTTTTATTCCCAAACCCTTCCTTTATACGCGTCTCTCATTTAAGTTCAGAGCCAAAATTTCATAGGCAAAATTTCGCTCCCTCAATATCGTTCCTGCATGCAACTCTCTTCTCTCGATTTAAGTTTAGAGCCAAAATTTCATAAGCAAAATTTTGCTCCCTCAATATCGTTCCTGCCCAGCCCACAGCAATTCTCTGCGTATACTTTGTCCAACTTAATCTCTTCTCCTTTGTCATCTTCTCTGCAGCGAACCAGCGTACTGGTATGTTTTCGATTTTGCTTTTATGCATTTTTCTTTTTGTATATCTCTAATCGTGATCAATGCTGTGTTTGTCATCATGTATGAGTGAAATATCCAAAATAATGATTATAACCTGATTCACTGAGGAATAAAGTGCGGATTTTTGTGAGAAAGTTATTGAGAACCTTTTGGTATTGAAATGTGTTTGTGGTTCAATCAATATATTGATTATATAAGGACATTTCAGAAAAAATAGTCCTAAGAATTTGTAAGTTAACTGTGTTTAGGAATTTTAGTTAACTGTGCTTCTATTAAAGATGCATCTAATTAGGTCCTGGATTTTAGTTTTTTAGTTTAAATATTAAAGACATTTCAGAAAAATAGTCCTACGAATTTGTAAGCTAATTTTAGTTAATTGTGCTTATATTAAAGATGCATCTAATTAGGTCCTGGATTTTAGTTTTGTAGTTTAAATATTAAGGATATTTTAGAAAAATAGTCCAAAGAATTTGTAAGCTAATTTTAGTTAATTGTGCTTCTATTAAAGATGCATCTAATTAGGTCAT